AATTGCACACACACCGATTTTGGACGGCCAGTATAAAATCGGCCGATATTTTATTGGTAGCGGGTACTTGCACACTCACCGGATTTTTATCGGTCAAACAATCATTTGCTTTGTTGTCGTAATTAGCACGCACTACCAAAACGAAGTTAATGCGTAGTAACTACAATTTCACCGAGTATTCGAGACTGGAATGGTCGGTAAAAAAACCTCTGAGTATGCAAGAGTGTATTCAGTCATGTACGCCGCTACTTTCCGGTACTGCCGGCGATACAGTGTCAGTGGATGGCTGCTCACCGGTATTTTACCGGCGACGATCACCGGTCGGCGTGTGTGCCAGGTCCCGTTCCCACATGTGGTTCACCATTGGAATTTGGACGACCGGTACAAAGTCGGCCGTCCAAAATCGGTGTGTGTGCAACTAGCGTTACGTCGACGAAACGCAAGATCTGCCGAAAACATCACCGCTGTTTGTGATAGTGTGCAGGATAATCTGGAGTAGTCGATTTTGTGTCGCTCACAAGAACTCGACCTTGTGCAGACACAACTTGGCGAATTTCGCGTTGTGACTTGAGTATACACCCGTACAAAGTTCATATGACCCAGAAACTGAAGGTAAACGACCATAGACAATCGCTCTGGAGCAGTTGGCAGCTAACCCTAATTTTCAACGAAAAATAATCTTCAGCGAAGAGGTCCATTTATGGATGAATGGGTGCGTGAGCAAAGAAAAGTGTCGCATTTGAGATGATACCAATCCACATGAGATCGTCCAACGCATCTCGAAAAAGTCAATGTAGATGTTGGCCTGGCGGCGTCATCGGACCAAATTTTTTCGAGAATGACGTTGGCCAGGTCATCACTGTTAAAGGCGAGGACTATACGTCAATAATTACTTGCTGCTGATGGCTCCGTGCATTTGTAGTTATTTCGACTACCAAGTGTTGCCTATCCTTGCACTTGGCTGCACCATACTGATGATGAGCCAAAAGCCCGAAACATATGTCTATGGTTTGCCACTTTTTTGAGTGTTATGTCCGATAAATCACCTCCTGTATTCATATCCAGACACTCACATGTTTTTTTTACTCCGATACTATTTCCAAGTTTTCAGTTTCTACTTTTTATCCACCTCAATGCCATACAGTTTTCGGCACATTTTAACCTTTCACCTTGACTTGGGTGGTGTATCGCTAACGACGTATCTATCATTTTTAGTCACCCTAACGCCACACAGTCCTCGACACGATGCGAAATTTTGACGACTTGGGTAGAAGTCCAGAATACAGACATGTATTCCTTATCTGAGTGGACAAATATTATATTGGGTTTGCATCTTATTCACAATTTACCACTAATCTATTATTCAAGCCCTGCCAGTTGACACCCATATTGGGGTAGCTGTGAAAAAATATGTAGTCCGTCATTTTATAGCTGCAGCCATCTTGGATTTGCATCTTTTTCAAATTGTACTATCGTTCTACTAGTCAAGCCCTGTCATTTGATACCCATATTGGGGTAGGTAGGTAGGTAAGTCTGAAGTGAGTGGGTCTATTCGACCCTCCACCGCAACCCATAAGGGTTCATTGTGGCTCACACCTATTCACACTCGGCCAAATAAACCCAGCTTCTCAACGAAGCCGATTAGTTCGTATGGTGAGTGGTCTTTCAGGTCAGATGGTGAGAGCACGGATCAGTCGAACTCAAAGAATCTGATTCGATCCCCAGCGGGGCAGGCACAAAGTATATGCTCTGCAGTTTCATCATTTTCCAGACAGAGGCGACACACACACTTGAACTGTCTTCCGACAGTTCAAGTCTCTGCATGTGCCCATATTGGGGTAATTGTGGAAAAATATGTAATTCGCCATTTTGTAGCTGCAGTCATCTTGAATTTACATCTTTTTTAAAATGTACTACTATTCTACTGAACAAGCTCTGTTATTTCATACCCATATTGAGGTTTTGGTTTTCTCAGATCGATAAAATCACCAATCGTTTCCAAAATATTTGTAGGAAACTGAAAATGACAAATTCCAGTGTTTTGTTCTACCGCCTCCATTTTCATTTCATGTTTTTCATAATCTGGTTCAACCCATTTTTCAATGCGACGTTTCATTCACCATCAATATTTTTTTTAAATAGGGAACTGTATATTTTTTCATGCATTTTGTTAGTAGTCATTGTGATTACAAATTGATTTATATATTACAACATATGAATTTCTCGACGTTTTTTCCGAAAACACAACATCAATATTTTATTAGAAGCTCAAATTTTCGAATGTTACTGAAATCTAAACAGACTTCTTCCGTCGGTGATGTCGTTCATTGAGATCCTGAATATTTATATTCACTGAAATCCAAATAGATTTCTGTCAGGGTCGTCTTTAAAAAGACAGGCCAATACTCTTTGTATCAATACCAAGCTATTCATAATTTTCAAATGTCTCCTGAAAACTTGTAGCTACCCAAGTATTTCTGTTCAGAAAATGAGTATATCATAAGACTCAACTAATAAAAACAGTTTGTTATGAAAATGTTGAGAAATATATTTTGAGTTTTGTCACAAACCACCCTGTATAATACTTTTTTATATTGAAAATACTATGGCTGTCAGAAGAGTTGTCAATTTTTGCCAATGTACTAACGTCAATAAAAAGTAAAAAAGTTTTTGTCGATAAATCGTAGGTATTGTTGTTGGGGTTTGCAGTAATTGCTGTACGAACAGTATATACTCAAATATTCAACGAAAGTCATTTTTTGTGGAGGAAAAAATTACTTTTTTTATCGACATAAAAAGTTTGCCCTTCTACACTTGTATAAAGTTCTCCATTATAATTTTTATATTTTTCAGATTGTTGAAGGTAACAATTACCCAAAAAAGTATATTTACCAATAACACATGTTTCGACAGGAATATACATAGAGTTACCATACGTTTTAACGTATGGCTTGGTGTTCATGATAATAAAATTATTCGTCCCCACTTTTTTGAAACATTTCTGACCGGAGAATTATACTTGGACTCCTTATCAGGAATTCTAATTGAGTTTCTAGATGATTTGTCATGCAGCCTAATGAGAAAATATGAGTATTTCCAACACAACGGAGCGTCAGCACATCGCAGGAGAATGTGCAGAGATTTCCTCAATACAACTGTGCCAGGAATATGGATAGGAAATAATGATCCTATAGAATAGCCACCACGTTCACCGGACCTTCCTCTTCTAGATTTTTCGTTGTGGGCCTTCATAAAAGATAAAGTATTCTGAATAAATTTTAAAAATATTGAGGAATTGAAATATTCAATCAGGAGAACCTACATGGCTATCATTCCACAGATGTTAGAGAACTGTCACAAGTACACTATCTCTAGACCAAGTATTTGTTCAAGAAATGATAGAAGACAATTTGAACATTCAATGCGATATCGCGTGAGACGGGCACTTGAAAAATGTAACGTGAGGCATTCTGTTATGATGTTCATTTTGTACGATTTATTATTCCGTTACATTCTCTTTCGCAACTGTTTCTTTTTTAATGTAGTGTATTACGATACTATTAACTATGTTCTTGCAAAAACATTCAGAAATTTGATTTCTCAAAAAACTTAAATGATAGAAATTTGATGTTGTTTTTTGGAAGAAACGTCGAGAAATACAAATGTATAAAGAATAAAAAGGTCCGTATTTAAAAAAAATATATTGATGATGGATTTCAATGAACGAAACGTCGCATTGGAAAATGGTCAAATTATATTATGGAAAACATGAAATTAAGCAAAAAGGTTCTCTGTCTCTGTTTTTGCAAATATCTCAGACACGGTTGGTGATTTTGTCGATCTGAGAATATCATTATGTTGCATTCCTAAAAAAAGACAACTTTTGTTTTATTCAACCACCTACCGTGGTATCAACTTGAAAAAACGGCCTGTATATATACTCAGATTTTGTCACTGAGAATTGTGATGTAAGTTGGGGTTGAATAAGTTTAGGTTTAGTAAATAAAATCAGTCAATATTCATTCAGCAGTTTATTTTTCGGATTCAGTGAGAAGATTCAGAATAGCTGACACAACCATGAATATACAACAACTTGTTTTATGTTTTAGTACATATTTATTCTTGACAGTCAAACATGCAAATGAATAACTGATTCGAGATTTCTTTGTGAAGACAAATATGAATCTGAATATCCAATCATGTTGTCAAATATCACATTAACAATTAGACAACAGCCTATTGATTGACAAAACTTCAACATTGTACAAGGGCTGGAAAAGAAAACAAATTTCTTTTCAAAGATTGAATGACTGGTTGGACAGAATTTTTTCAATTACTGGAAAAATTGAAAAACCACGAAATTAATGTCACTTTTTATTAAAACTGCTTTGGCAAAGTTTTGCATAACATGTTTTCCAATGGCGATAACATTGTTATCACAAGAGTATACATATATATGCTTATTCGTTAGTGAAAAGGTATTTGAAAATTTGTATCTTTTCCATCCACTTGTTACATTCAAGACACATATAATGTTTAGAATATAAAAATAGAGACTTAATATTACAAAATATGTGCAAACTCAAGAGAAAACATTATTTATAATGAGCGTTTTAACAACAGTTATTCAATACAACAGCCGGCTTTCAACAATTTATTTCCGAAAATAATTAAATATTTTCAATATATACAAACTTAATAAGGTTATTTTAAATTAGATTTTTATATACACATATATACAATATCCGCGATAATTTACAAAATACTCGAAAGAAATTGTTTAGGCCTACATATTGTTTTGCTTTTTTATTGTGGCAGCACCACTATAGAAAAAAATATTTGAAATAATGATTTGGAATCAACTGTTAATATACTATTCAACTAATGCATGACAATGCAGACATTTCACGATAAAAAGTAAACGTTTTCTGATGTGAAATTGACACAAATGATTGTCTTTCCAATAGAAATATAGTCCAATTATTTATAATTTTTTTCTATCTGAACAAAATTTTGGATATGTCTACATTTTCATCGGTGGTATAGGTAACTTCTATTTATTCTGTTTAATATGACTTTGCAAATGATTCGAATTGTTACAATATTGAAGACACTTCTTAAGGCAGACAATACATTTCTTTCAAACAAACTTCTCAGGCGGTAGTTATAATTTACATGTTTGTACGCGTAGAATTTCGTATTTCCAACTGCATTGTTATTGACTATATCAGTTTCTCTTATTGGCTACAAAAATAAATAGATTATATAGATTCACAATTACCAACATAAAAAATAGTACGGAATGTATTCAAAGATTATTTGGCAAATGTGATCCAAAACAAATTTAAAATTAAATCATTAATTAAAGCTTTTGTTACTCTTCCTAAATGGTTAAAAAATCTAGTTAAAGTGTTCAAAACACTCTGGCAAATAAAATATACATTACGATCAACAATTATTTTGAAACATACAAAAATAGGATTCTCAATTTCAACAACAAACCTCTAGGCGATCAAAAATCGCAAAAAATCAGTCTGTGGTTCATACCCCAACACGGTTATCATCGACATATCATATAAAATTTAGTATACATGACATTTCAAGTCTCTAAAATCCTTCCTTGTTTAAATTCGAGTGTCAATGAATAGATAAACTTCCATGAAATATATTTTCTTAAAAAAATTATTTTGTTTACCGAATTCAATTACTTCTGGAGATTCATTCCCCGTTTTTCCTATTTTCTTGAGACACGGTTTTGAAATTTTTTGAAAAATATTTTCAGACAAATACAATATTGTTCGTCTTGACTGCAATAATAGTTATCGAATTGATACAAAGAAAACAGAATGACACAGATTCTGTAGACGTTAACGGCTCTATATGATAGGCCTCAAACTAATGACGAGATCAAAAAATCAGGTATTTTCAATGCATCCTATTCAATTTGAACAAAAATGATTCTGGGCTGGTCAAGATCTAGCACGCCAAGATCACAGTCGTCGCGTATTAGTAGCACACATTCACCGGGTTCGATCCCGGTGGTGGGTATTTCTCACAGAGTAGTTGTTACCACGGGCAGGTTCATGGCTTCCTCACTGGTCACTGTATGAGACTGATGTAGATGTTGAGCCACCTGTTGATGAGGAAGGAGATGATGATGGTGCGTTTGCGGCGGAGTTTGCGCAGGTTGGATCGAGGACGAGGTGGATTGCGACGAATTGTTATTGTTATTTCCAAGTTTATTTTCCTTCTTCATCCTCTGTTTCAGATGCACCTGAAACAACATCCACACTTTAGTATTTGAAATTACTGAAACTTTTGAGGATACCTGGTATGTAGACAAACACATTGTTATTGGCGACTCATATGAAAGCAAGTTAAAATTACTGAGATGAAAATTACTATTATTGAACGTTTGAAATCGTGTGTTAAGTGTATATTTTGGAACATCTCTATGGAAAACAACGTAATAAGAAATATTGAAATTCTGATATACTTTACAATATGTCATTGAAATATGATTTTTATGAATCTTTTATGAATAATCAAGTTACACTTGATTGCGAGATTTCCACTGGACACAAACATTTTCACGGTAAAGTGTTACTTGAATAAGTTAAGGATTTTCACTAAGTATCGGCCAATTCCATCATATTCCTGGTTATTTTGCTTATAACTTAGTCCTGTATTCTACGAATACTAGGGTATATGTACATTCATTAATAAAGTGAGTAATAAGTTGAAACATTCTAAGCTCAACTTAGAAAATAATAGTGAAAAAACCTGGTTTATAATTAACGGTAAAAATTTTCATAATGAATTACCAAATACTTTGAAAATATATGAAAAGATTAATATCAAAATCATTCGAAATAGTTTTCAGGTAACTCTTATATTGGTGTTCATCAGTTTTATCATTGTCATCTTCAATTTTAATTGATTGCTTCTTCAAGCCACACTCCAAGATAGATATTTTTCGTCCCATACATTTCATGGAATAGAAATTAATTTGTCTAAAAAGTTGACCCGAATGGATTTTGGATCGTAATGATATATTTTGAAACTAATTCAATGGATGTGACCTCCAAATATCATTTTTATATAATTCACTTTGAATTAACTTGACTCGAGAGAATGATGAGAGTTCAAAATGATAACGATGATGAAAATTGAAAATTCTGACAAATGGATTCCTGTTTGATTAAAAGGGACTTTCGGAAAAAACTTTAATAGTGAAACATTCCATCGCTGGATATTGAAAAATGAATTCAAATTTGAAAAAAATATACATTTCACTGATGTGACCGAAAGTATGAACCAATTCACAACATTTTATGTTGATTTTTTCTGGTACTTTCATTTTCAATCTATAATTCAAATAATTGATTTGCTGTTAGTTTTATCAACATTTGTGATTCCTAAAGCTTTGTGCTTTCTTTCTATTTGATTCAAAACTTTATCGAAAAAGTGAAATTGTTGAATTTCACCATTTAAAATGTTCGATTTTATGTGTTACTGAAATTATAATCGTTTGAGTTTTTCAAGCAGAAGTGAAAGCAATTTATAATAAAATAGGAAGAATATTCATTCGGTTGAATGCAATTCGAAAGTTTGAATCTTGATTTGAACGAAGAGGTAAAATTTGGATTTCCAGGGAATCAATGATAAATAATGAAAGAGATAAAAACGTGCTTGAATACAAAATTCTTCAACTGAAGATTAAAATGAATCAAAATATGTATAGCAATTGATTTTGAAGACAAAATGAAATTCATCAGATGATGTTTCAAAGTGAATAATTACTCAAGAAATATAACCCCTATTTAAGTTATTCGAACAAGGAATACCTATCTTGTTTCACGAATATTGTAGATGGTACCACTTAGCACATTCCAATTGAAAGAATAAATACAATAATTTGTGGTAAAGTGTTCGTTAGCACCTAGAGAAAATGCAGTGGGAGATTAAAATGCATTGCTGCGAAAAAGAATGCAGGTCTTTGTGTTGTTTAATAAGCATTCATTATTGAAATAGTTCTCAATGTAAAATCTTACCTTTGCATGTCTCTTTTTTTCGTCACTCCTGGCAAATTTCCTTCCGCAAATGTCGCACGAAAATGGTTTTTCTCCGGTATGCGTTCTGATATGCGTAGTTAGATGATCCGATCTCGAAAAGCTTCTCATACAAATTCTGCACTGAAACGGTTTCTGTCCCGTGTGTATCCGGATATGTCGCGTCAGCTCGTCAGAGCGTGAAAACCTCCTATCACAATTTTCCACGGGACACGCGTAAGGTCTTTCATGTACAGGCGTTTTACTGGGCCGATTGGGATATTTTCGCGGTTTCACCGGTATCAACTTGAGCGGTATAGGGCTCTGTTGATACACCTGACTCAAGATTTCATGTCCCTTACTTGTTGATGGGTTGTATTCAGCCAGTTGAACATTGTAACCTGAACTTGTGCTCTGTCCAAGATCACCACTACACGCACTACTGAAAGGTTCTTGTTTGGGTACCAGACTGGAAGGACCCGGTATAACTAATGCACTGGTGTTTTGTGGGGATCCGTACTCTTGACTTTCCCATTGGTATTTTGCAGTATTCGTCATAGGCTGGCTCACCCTGGAATACACCAAATCCTGTTGCATGTCGATGAGGTTGGTATTTGTCGCTGAACAACTCGGGTATGAAGGTGGTTGTTTCAAGGCTAGATTTCCGGTACATTCCATACTCAGCATCAACTGCTCCGTTTGAGATCTGTCATCATATTGTGTTCCAGCAGGGCTAGGTGTGGCAGATGGATATTGTTGCTGAGGGCTTTGAGAAGGGCCTTGGAGCAGACCAAACATTGAAGGATACATCGGTTTATCACCCGTCGATAACAACCACTGGTTCACTGCAGAGGGAGAATGACCCATAGTCTGACTACCAATGCCTAGAGGGCTGGTACTGTGCATTTGCAGGCTACTCGATAAATTCGGACTTCCAGCAGACGTGTAATTTCTTTGTTGCATTTTAGCCATATTATTGTTGCCCGAATGGGGATACATGCTGAGGGTACTGTGGTTCGTATTTTCCTCTTCCCTCAAGCTGGGGGACAATGCAGACTCTTGAGGGGTAACGCGTTCCGCAGTATGACTACCACTTGGAGACTGTTGGGGACTTGATTGTGGCTGCTGCTGTTGCTCAATGGATAGTTCTTCGGGGTCCAACGATCCTATGAAAAAAATTGAAAATACTTTTAGTAGAACAAACATCGAGAAAATGTTGATACGCTAGTCCATGTAGTTCATGAATTTCAATAAAAAAAGGTTTTAAAAAATAATAATCAGTGATATGCGAACATAATTTTTGATCGAAATTATGAAATTTTAAATGATTCGCAATTGTTTAACAATTTAATTTTCATTTACAAAATATGCATTTGCTGAAATTAGCGGAAAGATCATTCAACTGTATATCGATCAATCACGGCCGTGGGCCGTGCTCTTGACATTATACATATCCGCCATGTTTGTCATTTCATAGTAAGATTTTCTTCAATGGAAGAGCTCAATGGTTAACAAGTTATTGATCGGATTTGGAATCCACATTCGCATCGGCGCTCTACAAAAATTCCGAACCGTTCGTAGATATCGTTTTGTTATACCAGATGCACACACTTGTTGCCCGTATAAACAATTTTCATCAACTAGAAAATGATGGAGATAGTACAGCCTTGACGTCGATACGTTTCATGTATTAGCAGATTTTTTGCTGAAGGTTATGGAGCTATATCGTTTTTATTGATTCATTTGTCACATTATAAAATAACCGTAGACTTTGTGTCTGTGAATGACCATTTCAGAAAATTGAAGTTAAATGGACATGTATATCAACTATGGTTTTATGATAAAAGAAAAAGTGACTCCACCTGTCTCACGATCTCCACCTTGCAACGAACATTTCCATATCTCCGAAGATGTAATATAATATTCTGGTGTTTCAAAGCACAATCGATTCAACATAGACATAACATTATGACGGAAAAGCTATTTTTATACTCCGACTTGCTCGCAGAGCTCTGCGTTGAAGTATATATAGACCTTAGCCAACATGCCGCACCTGTTACTGTTCTTTTATTTTCATCAGAGAAAACTAACCTGTAATAGGGGGAGGTTCAATGACAGTACTAGGCCCAAAGAAACTCGGTACGTCTCCGGAGGTGGTTACAGGGGTGTTGAGATCTCCCGGTTGAGCCTCAGAGGGCAAATGATCATCTATATGAGTGCAAATAGATGCTGGAATGGGGCTGCCACCACTATTGCTGCTAGCGCCAGTTTTATACAGACAAGTTTCGAAGCTCAAAACGTTGAAGTGATGTGCAGCTGCAGCGGCCGCCGCACTCTCTGTCAAAAGAAAAGCTGAAGAGTGATGATGATGATGATGGTGGTGGTGCTGATTAGGCAGCGAGTCTAAAGTGTCCATGATCATTTTGCCACTGTTTGGTTGATAATCCGCCACCACAGGCAGGTTTTTAACACCGATCAACACTCAGAACAGAGCGCGCCGATCGCGCACTAAACGAAATCAAGTCGGCTGTGTTTTAAGACGCACTTTCTCGTACGGATTTATCTCGGTAACTGGTCGGAGCGCGGTGATCGTTTCAGTTTTATGAATGAAGTCAGTGTTCCATATTAGGAAGTCGCAAGCAAGGGGTTGGCCAATAGCGGAGAGAGGCTGTGTGATTGCCCCTCCACGGTGATGCCCCCACTGAATCGGTTACGTGACGTCAGGGTGACGTAATACTGGCGCTTAAATGTTCTATAGGGAGCGTGCCGTGTTTTTCTGGATTGTGATTATTTTTAATGAGGGTTTTGTCGAGAGTTTTGGAGAGCACGCGACTATTGAATGAGGGTGTGAATTTCACACTCCATCTGGTTTGAAGCAATTAGGAGCTTTATTGCAATTCCGTCAATGAGAAGTATTCGTTATTTTCAATGATTTATCCAACGGACCCGTTTTTGTGGTTATGTGGACATCAATGACATTTTATTAAATAATATCAATAGTATGAACCATACGTTAAACTTATATGAGCACACTGCATAAAGATAAATAATATGCACGAACTAATTCACGTTGGTATTTATTCCGACGGAAACATGACGGATATCGAAGGGAAGCTAATGTGAATAAGAAAAAACTTTCATGAAAGTCAATAAAAATATTCACAAATAACATCCCTTAAAACCACAATACACCAAGAAAGTACCAAATCTGTTGCATTCAATTAATTCATTAATAAACTGAGTTGAATTTGAAAAAAAGGCATACCTATTTGAAAATATGGCATTTGTATATCTTCTTTCAGGTTGCTGACAATTTATAAAATTATTCAACTGAGCAGTGAATAATGAAAAAAACATGTTTTTTGAAAGTGAATATTTTCCAAGTATAAGCTTACGATATTCAGGTAATAAGTTATACTCTCGTCTATTCTATCAATGAAGTACTTACACCGCACGTGCATTTTTTCCAGCCAGCACGAATATCCATCTCTTACAGTGGAAGTGAAGCTCATTTATCTTAAAAATGATTGCCAATAATTTTGAGAACAATTAATATATTTTTTCTGAATTTTCCAAACAGATGTGATTGTTATTAAATTTCCCTTTTTAAAATTTAAATGTCTGAAAGAATTAATACCAGATTTCAAAACATATAAAATACTGCGTATTCCTGAAGAATGAAGGAGTAAAATCAGTTCTTCTTTCATTATGTGAATTATTGAATTGTTTGGTGAAGCAACAGTTTTCGGACTGCTTTTACGTAGCTATTGTTGAAACTTTGATGTTGAACAGCTACTTATTATAACAATTTGAACAGAATGTCTCTGAATTTTGATATCAAGATGTCAATAAAGAATAATGATAATGAAATATATAACATTGCTTGAAGGTGAATTGAATTTTAGGATAACTTGGAATAACAGACGAAATAAATAAATCATAAGTTATTCTGGAACCTGAAATTGATGTGTTTAAATAACCGTGATTCTATTATTAGGGAATGAATATTATGTGTTCTTCTTCACTATTGTACATCTTTGTAAGAATTTGTTTCTTGAGAAAATCCACTGGTGTATTGAATGAGTGCTGATGAATATTCAATTTATTTATATGTTGAAAAAAGTATCATTCAATATATAATTTGATAATGATTACCATATTTATTTAAATATTTAATTATCTTCAAGAAAATTATTTTTAGATTTTGACAAAAAAAAACTTATATTATTGAAATGAAAAAAGGATTTTTATTTATCTGGAATATATCATAGAATAATTATTTGCCAGATCACAGGAAGTATCTCATATATTTAAATTTCTTTATTTAGATACGATTGGTTTCATAGTAGAACTAAAATGTTTAGGTGCTAACCCATACTGATGAAAGATTCCCAATTTTCACATTTTTCAAAAATCTTGATGCGTTTCGCTAACTCCGTAGCTTCACTAACGATGAAGAACCGTAGATTCACTATCGATGAAGCTACGTTGCTTCACTATCCATGAAGCTACGTTGTTAGCGAAAAGCGTCTAGGATTAAAAACATTTGTGAAAATTGTTGAATTATTATCATGAAAAGTGTTATTTATTTTCATCAAATAACGAATCAGTCCATTCATTCTCTAAAATAACCTATTTTCTCAGCATTTTATTACAATAAGTGGGTATTTTTTTCGGAGTAGCCTTATCATTCAATAAATTATAATTTTGTATTGCCAAACATGCGTCAAACTACCTGACAGTTATGAGGAAACAAGTATAGCTGAGGCACCAGTCAATCTAATAACACATCTTCTTCAAACAAGACTCAACCTCTGACGGAAGCAAGAAACTCTTTCGAAGGTTCGAAATAGATGAACATTTCAATCTAACAGACCACTATTATAATATTCATGAAGTTATTGTTCATTGTGGTTCTGGCGTTGAATTTGGTCATTATTACGCCTTGGTTAAAGATGAAACGGACTTGTTTAAGTTTGACGATAGTCGTGTCACGAAGTGTTCTGGCGAAGTATTTAATCTATTGGAGACACTCTACATTTTGTTTCATGAGAGAGAGGACATTGGCAGATCAAGGTCTTCAGATGATGTGGTGCTACAGGTTTTTCCGGATTTTTCTGCAGCTGAAAAAGCAAATGCGCCACTGGAATCAATGAAGTCGCCCCGGAGCGCCAATTAATTTTCATTGTTTTATTGTTGTTATTATTTTTATCGTTATTTTATAATTTCACAAATAAATATTTCGAAAAATTCGACATGAAAAGTTTTGTTTGCAAGGTGATTCAAATTTCTTTTTGATAATTCAGAAACTACGTGAATATCTGACTAAGATTATTCAAGTCGATTCTTTTATTCATCGATATTTCATCATTGTTCACTTCAAATAATCCCAAAATATTATTTTTTGGGCTAATAATTTCATAGCTTTCAATATAATCGATGATACAACGGGCTCGAATTCTACTACATTGCAATGTTTCATCATGGATGAGCCTTTGCCAATGTTTCATTCGACAACTTAGTTGAAAATTCATCAGTTGTGGTTTGAGAGAACAAAAGTTTGGCTAGTATGCCGTGTCCAAATCCAACATGTACCAAACGTTTCATCTGATACTGTGGCAGACATCATCAGTGGTTTTTGCGTTCACTCGCATGTTCTTATATCAATCAGTTGATTGTGAAATTTCATTCATCGATGGAACCAATTTTTCCTGAATTGTCATCCAAAACTCCCAGAATGATAATTTTTGGGCAGATGAAGTTTGTCGGTAATATGTGAACTGAAATATGCAGTGACTGAAGAAGAATGGTAAGCTTTGATGGAAGATGTTCCCATTTTATTGAAAAATCACTAAATATATTTCGGAGGATAACAAGCATGGCCACTCAGGTTCCCAAACCTCAATAAGTTAGAATGCTTTATGAAGGGTTTATCTGGAAATATTGGTTTGAAACAAATCACTTCTTTCTGGAGAGCAGAGAGCATGTCATTTTTTCTTATGAAACTATAAGGAACGTGTGATGCACTGTTTGGAACATTTGGTGTAGTAATGAACATTACTGGAGTTCTATCCTAACACTAAACCGTTATTTTAACACCTCGACATGTGTTTCGTTCACCAAGTGATCATCTTCAAGAGGAAGTTCTAACTGTTTAATGTTCCTCTTGACCATTATTTCAACACCTGCCCCATATGTTTCCATTACCAAGTGATCATATTCAAGAGGAAGATTAAACTTCCTCTTGAAGATGATGACTTGGTGATCGAAACACGTGTCGAGGTGTTAAAATAACGATTTGGTGTTGGCATCAGTTTTGGTATGATAACTGGTAATAATAAAGAGTTATTCTGTAAGGCAGAAATTGGTATATGATGTACAGGAGAATAGTAAACTTTTGAAAACTTGGCACCCTGTAGTTCAAAAGATGAGACGTGTATGAATGACCGAAATGAATATTTGTCATACAAGTGCTCGAAGACATCTCAAAAATGCGGTTTTAAGTGTTATAAAATACACATATCTCGAAAATTGCAGCCAGGTGATCCCGAAAAGCGATTAGAATTTTGTAATTGCCTAATGAGAAGACCTGATTTTCCTGATTTCCTGGAAAATGTAATTTGGACAGATGAAAAGCACTGTTACGAATTGTGGGATATTCAACCGAAATAAGCATAAACATAAACAACCCCAAGCAGTTTCCAGAAATTCTACCTCAAGTGCGATTCAGTATTAACGGGTGGGCAGGAATTTACAAAGATAGAATTTTGAGTCCTCATTTATTTGACGAAATTCTTAATGGAGAAACCTATCACCAGTTTTTGATGTCGATTTTTGAAGACTGTTTGGATGATCTACCTTTGGCTAACTATAACAATATCTAGTTTCAACATGATGATGCTCTACCTCACACTATCAGACGAGTATCTAATTACCTGACTGAAAGGTTTGTTGATGAATGGATAGGGAATACTGGGCCAGTGAGGTGGCCACCAAGGTCTTCAGACTTAAGTATTATGGATACATGCTCATGGGGAACACTGAAAAATAGAGTTTATGGTCAGAGGAAATATCAAAATATTGAGGACCTTCAACACAGCATTGTTAGAGAGTTTGAAAGATTGATGAGAAGGAAAATTAAACGTGCAGTGAATAAATTCGAAGAAGGACACAGTTGCATTATCATGAACAACACCAGCATTTTGAGCATTAACTGTGATATACTTTTTGTCTTTATATTTTAGTTAATTTTTGCTATTTGTTCAAAGTTCTATTTTCATTGAAAAAAACACAATGTTTAATTTACCTCATACACACCTCATTTATCAAATTTTGATTGTTGACTGTGTCTCCGTATTTTTTCATTGGCTTTTTAAACGAACCAAACTCGGTGAGATCCAATAACTTCAACATTGTCGTGGTTGATGTGGTTGTCGTCGTTCGGGATACAACTTTAAATACATTTCCGATGTCCTGACACTGTTTCTATCGCTTTTGTCATAAATTTGCATCATATCTCTTTTTTCATCCGTGAAAGCCATTTTTCGCCAAAAATTCAATGACTTGTACAGTAACAAATTGAAAATCAAATTTAGAAA